CCAGCAAATGAAAAAGGCAAAGCCAAAAGCCAATTAAAGACAGGCATGGGCGTGCGCTGGACAACATTGTAAAACAATGCACCCTACAGGCTTCGAGCAGCATTCGCCAAATGCCGCAAGCTACAAGCTCCCCTCGCTCTACGCCTCCAATGCCAGCTCGGAACTGAGGCGAGCCGAGCAGAGCCGGCACAGCAGCGCAGCAACAAAATGTCCGCACCCAATCAGCATATTTAAATTGTGTTGTGTTGGTGATTGAAATGCATGAAGTACGACAACGCAAATGGGTTAGTTAAGGGGCTGGATCGGGCGCTGGTGCAGGAGCTGGTGCAGGAGCAGATCGCAGGACTGTCCAGCATTGGCAAACATGAATTTTTAGAATGCTGATTCTGGCTGTGGCTACTGTGGCCACTATGGCCACTATAGCCTCGGTTGCAACTACCACACTTTAATGGCCCCCATTCGTATTGATTGTGCGACTCTGACTCTCTACTTTTTCCTTTAGTAGATGTCCCTTAATTGCTGGACAACGACAGCAGTCCAGCACATGCTGTGAAGGTGGCTCCTCAAAAATGGTGCGGCCATTGGGCGTATTTTTGGTTGCATATCCACAAATCGTTTGAACATTGTTTTCTTTCGCTAGTGGCGTCAGTTCTTTTATTGTTGTTGTTGTGTGTGTGTGTATGTTTCTCTTTCAAAAAAAAAAGAAGAGAAAAGGGGAGATACTACCTAAAGCTATAATGCTAAAAAACATGCAAGTGGCCAGCAGCACTTTGCTGCTATGCACAGGCACTTAAAGCGGCCAGTTTAATTGGAATTTAGGCGCAAAGTCGTAAATATTTTTGTCATGGCCAGACCTCGTCTAGCACCGACAGCCGATCCTGCACGTATTCAATTTTGAGCGTGTGCTTTGAAGTGCCGGCAATTGGTAGCTACTGCTGTGGTAAGCGCTGATGGCTCTGATATTGGAGTTTGAAGTGGCAGCTCGGCAGCTTTGATGGCAGTAGCAGGCAGCCAAAAAAAAACTAGTCGTGCACCATATTTCTTAACAGACCAGCTATTCGTGGATTAACAAAATAATATGAACGAAGCTCCACATTTGCTTAAAATTGCGAAAGTGAAACATTCTATTAGTTACATTTTATTTAAAACCTCGCAAATAAACTTTTTGTGAAAAAACTGTACAACATTTGTTGCAAATTATGTCTTTTTTTCTTTTTTTGTTGGCATTAAATCCCAATGGGAATAAGTTTTATAACTATCTTGCTGAATACACCTTCCTTTCGGGTTTTGTGTGCAGATTATAAATCTTTTTCTTACCTCTTTTGAACCTTCCTTTAGTTTGCCTATTAAATATTCCCCCAACTCTGATTAGTAATACTTATAAATTGAGTTAAGTATTAATTATATTCAATTTACTTCGTTAGGCAATTGCTTTTTTAAGTTTGAAAGACGCGTAACTTGTCTTGATCACATATGTCTACTAATCGTTCAAGGAAAATAAATTGACCTATATGTGTCGGGGGCTTTATATATATAACTGCTTTTAAGTTGAAATATATCTTTATATTCCGAAATATAGGTCTTCAAATATTAGATGTGTCTGTACAGCTCTGAGAGAAGCAATGATTGCAAAAGACTACTGACCACCATTCTTCATTCGAGGGGTTACTAACTTATGCCCAAACAAGAGAGAACGCTACAGTCGAGCAAGCCCGACAGTGTAATACCCTGTACCCAGGTAAACTTCCGTCACTGAGTTATATGCGCCCATAGCAGCAGCAAAAAGAGGAAGAAGAAGAGCGAACTTGTTGCTGCAGTTTGGGAGGTTGTACTGGCGAGAATTTGTTTCGCTAATAACTTTTCACAGAATTGACCGAATTGGATAAAATTTTAAACAACAGTAGACAATTATATATAAATTACGTGTGCAAAGTTTGGTTGAGGTAGCATTTGAAATGTAGACGCTATTGACGAAATTCTGTAGCGGGGGAAGGGGGGGAAAATTAAAAAAAAAAAAATAAACTCGTCCTTACTCGGACCTAGGAGAATCTGGATGCCAACTTTGGTTATTCTAGCTTTTATAGTTTCTGAGATCCTCGCGTTCATCCAGACGGACAGACGGACAGACGGACGGACAGACGGACGGACATGTCTAGATCGATTTCTCTCGTCATGCTGATTCAGAATATATATACTTTATGGGGTCGGAGATGCTTCCTTCTGCATGTTACATACTTTGCACAAACCTAATATACCCTTTTTACCCTACGGGTACAGGGTATAAAAACGATAAATCGGAACACTTTCACTGAAGGTTATAAAAAGAATTAGCTATTTATTTCTTAAATTGAATCTTTACCTTTTGTTTTCAACTCCGCAATATGCAAATAATTCAAGGTAGTGTTTTAATGTGTTCATTCATCAAATGTTTTAAGTTACGAATGTAAGGGAAAAAGGATTATTCGACGAATTTAAATTAAATTTCTAATATAAATTGAAATTGCAACAAATAGTGTCCAGGTCAAGGATTTATTTTCACAATGCCCCGTCAATTTATATAATTGATAAGCATATCCCAGCTCCTTGAAATTGATTGCGGTATTCAAGTTCTTCCATGCCACCTCAAGCAAAGTTCAAACGAGGTGCACACGTGTTTTCCACTTCAAGTACGAGTCTAGCAAAAATCATTGCCACACAGCCCTTCGACACGCCGCCCCGAGATTGCGGCGACAGCCAGCAGCTCAGGCAAGTGCCGCATGCTTGCATGTTGCAGCAACTTAAGCAGCAGCATCAAAAGCAAAAGCAAGCGAAATAGAAACACGCAGTGGCAAGTACATGAGGCAAGCATGCATCTTAACGTGATTTAAACATGACGCTGCTCATGACGTTGACGATGACGTCGCTGTGGCTGTTCATAAGAGATGTGCAGCAGACATAAAAATGATCTCGATCTGTCACGTTAAGGGGGCCAGATGCTTACAAAATCCACGGCCATTCTTCATCTAAGAATAGGTAGACGCTAAGGACAGTGTATTATGCCAGGGTTAATTATGAGAGCTTCTTATATCGAACGAGCAGAACGTTACAGTCGAGCTAGTCCGTGCTGGAAATAATCCGCATTTACCATTTTTTGGGCTACGACCTTTTTATTTCAATAAGCCTCGTTGTACCAAATATTCTTATTACAGTAACAATATATGGAATGTGCTCCTATTGGTGGTAAAAAAATTATCTTGATGACCATCTAATAATAAACAAGCCACTATTGCAAAGTTTTATTTGTATAGCTTTGAAGTTGTGGATAGGACTGACGATATAGCAAGCAATTAAAATAAACTCGCATTGTCTAGAAACTGAGAGTTTGGTTATGAGACCGAGCATTTCCGAAGTTGAACCAGACGGACGGACGGATTAGTTATGGTAACAAATAATTTTTATTCGAAGTTTTTTGATTTTTTGCAATAATTAAGAATCAATCTTCTTTGTGAAAAAAAAGTACAATTATAATGAGCTAAATATATTCGCGAATTATATGAAAAATCGTTGTTTATTTTAGTTTTCTTTAACAACATCATTTAGGACTATCAAATTTAATTTCTTCTTGATAAGTAATTAAAGTTGAAGTTTAATTATAGTTACTGAAACCAAGGCGGTGTATATATATAATGTTCTTATATTAAAGATATGCGTAGTTCTATCGTAGCAATTGCATTTTTTATAATTTGAAGCATTATGCTATAGAGTTGTCTATTAAGGGGACGTATTTTCTACGTTAATGCAAGATTCTACCTCATCTCTGGGTGAAGAGGACCGGATACTGATATACAGATCTCAACCCTGTTTGCTTTCATCATCATGGTATATCAACTCTTTGACCTTAATGGACAACAAGATACATAATTTTCACTTTTAGCGAAAATAATTTGCTGTCCTAAGATTGGTTTTAATGCAATAAATTCCCGTCCATTAACTTTCAACCCAGCAGTCAAAAGGAATATTTAATTTTTGTAAATGCTTCAAACACCAACATTCGCGCATCTTTGATCTGCAAAGGGACTTTATCCATCTCTCTGTATTAGAAGGTTAATAACTAAAAGCTTTTAAATCAATATAATATGAGAAAGTACGTTTGCTATGAATTTAGAATTTAACATTTTTAAGAAAATTACTGTAGAAACTTTAACAACAATAAACTTTAACAAGTGGTTCTTGACGAACATAAGCAGTAATTTTGTTATGAAATGATAATGAAAACAGTTTTTGTTAACTACTTAACTGAATATTCTTTTATAGCTTCGAATCTGAATAATAGGATATGTCGCATTAATTACTAGCTTCGTGAATTGAAACCTGTGTAGGGTTTTAGAGTGCAATTATTATTAAGACTAGCATGCTAAAGATAATGCTTAACAGCGACCACAATAAAATTGTGTCTACTTTATTAAGATATTCGCAGAACTTATTTAATACTTATTACTTGCATTCAAGTATACGGTGATAGTCCGTGAATACACAAATACGTCATAAGAATAATTGGAAATACTTGTAGGAATGAAATGTAATATTTATTTGCCTCGATTCTATAGTACCATGTACTGCTTCATTTGTTTAAAATTTAAACTATTAGTGAGCCTGAACTCTCTACCTAACAAAATAAGATTTAATTTACACTACTTGTTTCAAAAATGTACCAAGTTTGGTTGCAATAAAGTTGTTATGATTTCCAAGCTCTGATATACATGGTATACATTTAATACTAATAATAAGTGGCTGTCTTAATAGACTGTTGTGGTGTATTACAACTATTTTGATAAAGAGGTATTTGTTTCCCAATACGCTGACTATACTTAAGTAATTCGGGTTTAATTATGTTCAAATTTAAGAAGAAAGAGGCATATAAAACTATCATTTTAAACTTAAATTACAATTGTTTCCAATTTCGATATATTTTATTTGATTTTTTTGTCACATGTAGCCCAAAAATTTCGCAATATATATGTAGCTCAAATATTCATATAAATTGATGGGCGCAACAATAGATTCTGGAAAATGTGAAACACATAGCTCTAAATAATATGCAAATTATTAGAATTGGCTGCCAGGGCACGACTGTTGCATCGCTCTACAATAAAAGGCGTTGTTAGTTGAAGGCAAAGCTGTCCTGCCAGCGGTTGCACGGGCATTACCTTAGGTTGAGTGTCACTTTGTGGTAAATCCGTTTGGCAGATTACCCAAAATTTGCCGTCACATCTGACATCGTGGTATACTATGCCATGCGGGGAGTCTTCGCAAGCAGCTACACACTGTTGCTCGGGCTTACCAGGTTTCTTCTTGCCCCAAACCAAAAGCGGTATTGTAGTATTGGAAGAATGCACAACGAATTGTTTTTTTCCAATTTTGTTTATAGCCGTCCAGACACCTTTCGTCCAGCATTCATTGGGAATGGTGTGCTTTTTCAGATAACTCATCACAAGAGACCTTTCCTGATCGGTGGAATATACCAACATATCAGAATTTGCTGATCGGCATATTTTCTCGGCTATGTGCCATGTCACCTATAAAAATCACTGGCTCTTCTACAAATTGAAATCAAATATCAGTACTTACTAGCTTCATCGATATATAATAGCATTTGTTGCCCAGAACTACAAAGCCGTCGGGGCAATACGCCAGAGTAGTGCCCAACAAACTTAGGATGCAGAGCGAGTCAAAAAGGAATGCCATTACGGGTGAGTTTCCAGACTGCTGGGAATTGTTTGAATGTTTGAAATTAAATTTAGAATTCTGAGCAGTTGCTGTGTTAAAACAACTTTTAATTTAAATCACTTCTCTATAGAAAATAATTGCTTTTTGTTCTGGGAACGCTCTTACAGTAACAGTCTAATTGAAAATTTGAAAATCTTCTTCGTTTTCTTAGTTTGTCCTGACCTCTACATAAAGAGCGCTTGATCGACTCCTCCGAAACTAAACGGCTGTCGAATTCCATCATTTCATGATCAGTGTTCAGAGTCTCCATAATCGTCATAGTCTAAACTATGTTTCTAAGTGTCTTTACTAAAAACTATTATATCTAGTGGTTGAAAACGATAATAATGTTTTTAATGCCTAAGGAGGTGCTTAAAAGAACTAAATGAGGATAAAGCTTAAAGAAAGAGGGGGTAATAGTGAAATGTATAAAGGAAGTGTTTTGCTGCGCTTCACTATGCAAATAATCCTATTGATAGGAAGATAATGTTTATGAGACAATTGCCCTCGATTACACAAAAAAAGTAATTTATAAAATTTGAACTCTTCCAATCAGACTTCAATATACAAGTACATATGTTTGGTGGACTGTTGCAACCATTCATTTTTTTTGAGAATTTAAAAGCAGCTGCACTTTTGGCTCTACCAGGCTGATTTGGACCCAATATCAAAATAATAGTAAGCTATTTGCAGGATGCACTATGAATTCTTTCCAGCGAAATGCATTTATTGCCTTTCAAAGGTCAGGATGCGGGCAATATTTTGAAACAAACAGTTCTTGATCGTCTTCCAATTTGAACATATCAGCATTTTCAGCTTAGTATGTGATCACTGTTTCTTGTAATTGGACTTATAAACAAAGTTGGCTTTTGTTGAAATTTATAACTTAAAGCAGTACTCATCAGGTATTCGGCACATCATAGCTCGTATTGCGGCATTATAATCTGAATATGCCCGCAGTATAAAATGAATTACTAGAAATCCTAAGCGATATACGAATATGTACGTAACAGGCAGAAAAAGACTTGTCCATGTATGATCAGCACGAATCAGGACGAATCGATATTGACATGTCTGTCCGAGATCTTTCTAGGAAAAACAGCTGATACGAAAACCTGCTGTAAAAGGGAGCATATCTGAATGCATAAGGTGTGTATATTATGAATCAGAATGATGGAATGAATCGATCTAGACATATCCATTCGTTCGGCCGGCTGCTCGAACGAAAACGATTGAGCTTACACTGACTAAACCAGGTATGTAGATTCTCCTAGTTCCTAGGCAACAATTTTCTGAATTTTTCGGAAACGGTCCCTGTAAATTTTACTCATATTGAGTGGAAATTTTGGACTCAATGGGTTTGCAAATATTTGTTGAGCTTTCACAAGTACTGTAAATTTATTTAAATTTTAAAGTTGCCCAACTTTTCCCAATTTATTTCATTTTCTGCTGATCTACGTCTGTACATCCGCCTGTCTGGATGAATGTTCGAAAACGTTTGAGCTTACACTGACTAAACCTGGTATGTAGATTCTCTTAGTTCCTAGGAAACACGAGTCTGTCGAGGTGCCGAGAAAAATTAACTCGTACTGAATGGCTTTTCGGAATCAGTGGGTTTGCAAATATTTGTTGAGCTTTCGAATAATTACTGTACAAGTATGTCTGACTATAATAGTTTAAATTTTACAGTTGGCCAACTTTTTCAAATTTATTTCAACATTCGAAAACAGTGGAGCTTACACTGACTAAACCTGGTATGTAAAATCTCCTAGTCTCTAGGTAACACGAGGTGTTTTTATTATTTTTTATCCTTTTTTCAGAAACGGTCACAGTAAATTCTATTTGTAGTGAATTGAATATTCGAAACCCACTGAGTTTGCAAATATTTGTTCAGATTTTAAACAAGTATTGTATGTCTGACTCTAATAATTTCAATTTTAAAGTTGCCCAACTTTTTCGAATTTATTTCATTCATATCTCTGCTGTGGTGGGTGGAAATATCGAGAGTAAGAGTCAGATCTCAAAGCCATTGGATGTGTATGTGTGCATTCGTCTTGGCAAGTCGTTGTGTATCTTGATGCTGGCTGATATTTTGACACAAATATGGCGATGGAGTTGTCGCGCACATCCGCGCAATTGCTCCAGTACCCTAATCAGCAGCAGATTCACAAGTGTATTTATGTATTTATGCGCAGCCAAGATACGCAACGTTCGCTTGGCGCTGCTCCGAATATATACAAATGAACGATGCTGTGAATATATATGAGACTTGGCGCCAAGCAAATTGCACGTGACACAAATAGGTAATTGCACTTTGGTCAAAAGTGTCTCACGAAGCCTGCTTCCTACTGCCAAATTTTGCACCCAAGACTTGGGACAGGCATATATGCATAAGTCTGTGTGTTGGCATTTATTTTAGTCATCAGTTTGGTTCGTCAGTATGCAGTTGGGTTTGCTTTCCGTTTAATCAGCTTTGGACTTTGCTGGCCAAACTTTTGCCCGTCCAACTATGAATTGAGTTGAATTGAGGCTTTTGGCTTCTCTGTACGTGCGTTAAATGGCTTTAAGTTGTTCAATTGACTGCTTAAGCATGGCACGCAGATTTGTAGGGCATTTATTGGTTAAAGTTCTTGGGCTGTATACCACACTTGGGTTAAACTGTTGCTTCACTCACTCGGCGTTCGATTTTAGCCAATTACGAGTAATATGCGAATGAGTTGTGTGTATTTATACTTTTCGTGCTTATGTTGCTGTTCATTTGCTTGCAATTAATTAAATAAAATGCCCCGCACGAATACTGTATTAATTGGTTTATATTTTAATGGCATAAAAGCGTATGGTCTCAAATAATTGAAAGTGCTTGTCTGCTCACACATATTCATATTCAAGGATCAGCATCGCAATTTAATTTGTTGGATTATTGAATCTGTATGTGTGTACGTGTGCCGTACAAATTATGCGAGTTTTCGCATTTAAATAATAATATTGCATGCATATTTTATACATATGTTCAATATTTAATGAAACCGCTCGCTAATTTGCAAAAGTCGAATAACAATGGCAACATTATATTATTTATTAAGACTCGAAATATTACGCATACGTCATATATTATTGCTTTACTGCTTTATATTATTTTAAAAATGCATTTTTTTCACATTTTATTGATTTATTTATTAACTTATCCTGGCTTTTCAAGTACCAGATTACTTTTAAGTTATTACGCTAGTCATTACATAATAATTTCTCTTTTAATTCAATTTTAATTAATTTAGTTACAAATTTGATTTAGTTTTATTTAACTCAACGTCATTTTAAAAATTTAAGAACTCTCTCTGTCTCTCCTTCTCAACTTCTTATAAACTGTTCTTTACAATCATTTCCGGTGAAATCTTTTAGCCACTTACGGCTGTGAATCGCGGCAAGCTGGCCGAATTTTCTAGTTTTTATCGAGGGGTTCTCATATTTTAAGTTATAATTATGTAAATTTTGTATAACAAATAGATAATTTTAGTATTTTAGTCTATGAAATATTTTTTCTCTGTATTTCGTTTTTGGAGCACAACCAGACAGTTTCCTTTTTAAATGTATATTAAAAATATGAGAACTATGCTCAAATGCATATATCCACAACAATTCAATTTGGATGCCCATTTCAGTTAAGTTTACTAGAAATATGTATGTATAGTATACCCGCTTAACATTGTAATTTCCGTCTGGTCGTTATCAAGTCAACACTTTGCTGGCACGCCACTTGAGTTAAAACAATTTGTAGCTTGTGTTTTGATATCGCTGCGAGCGCAACTTAGATAACTTATCGTGCTTGCCACACAGAGATACACCCATAGAACACGCAAACACACGCAGCAGTCATGTGAAAACTGGCAGGATGCACAACAACAGCAACAAGCGAGACAACGCCACAGCCTACGTTACAGTTACAGATACAACAGACTAAACATGGCGGTTACACGTTTGGCAGACAGCGTGTAAGCCATTAAAGTGTATCGAATTCGTGTGTGCGTGTGTGTGTGTGTGTGTGGGTGTGTTCGTGCTCGATTTAGTCGCAGGATATTTATGGTACATGTTTGTTGGCCGTGCACAGACAGCGTCGGTGTATTATTTTTGGCACAGATTTGCAAATTTTGCATTTGAAATTATTTGCAAATACGGCTGACAAGCGCCCCTTGTAATACGTGTAATTCCAAAAAGCGCTTATCATGACCATAGTATTAAGGAACTTTCGTTTGCTCTTCAATACGTGCGTATCCCGCTGTCCTTTTGTCATTTTAATTTCGTGCAGAATGCCATTTTTTGTGAGCCTCTCTTGGAGGTCCTTTCGATACATTCATGTGAAAATATTGCCTAACTCTCCGTTTTATTCATCTCACGGTCAAAGTCTTTTTATTGGACAAATAAATAGCCGAGTGTGTGAGGGTGTGTGTGTGTGTGTTTGTGTGTGTGTGTGGTCATGTATGAGCCGACCCACTTGCATTTATTAGACTAAGCCGGGGCACGGCCTTGTTGGCATCGACATTGGAGAAATAAGAGAGTAGACAATTTCCCATGAAAGATAAATCTGTAGCATAGCAAAAGCAACATGAACAATAATATCTACAAGAATGATAAAAACAAAAGAAAACAAAAAATAAAAAAACCCAGCAGCATGCATTATTTAAGAAAACTCACAGCTGCTCTAATAATGCGGAGCTTCGTTGCATTTGCGTTTGGTTTGCTTGCTTTTTTTATCAGAAGGGGTTTTAGGTATATAAATAATTTCTGTGCATGGTAGCATCTGAAATTATAATTGAAATATATAGTACATCAACCTCGATTATCAATAATGCTCGGGACAGAACTTTGTGAAGAAGTTAGATATAAAATTTCAAAAGTTGTATTTTTTAAAATTAATAATTCACCAATAAACCTACAAATGTATATAAATTTATTATTATTTTTTAAAATACATTTATTTAAAACAATAGTTTAAGGTGGTTATTTGATTT